ATTGTCTTCTGATGGAGTAGATTGTCTTCTGAGGGAAGTAATGGTCTTCTGATGGAGTGGATTGTCTTTTGAGGGAAGTAATGATCTTCTGATGGAGTGGATTACCTTCTGAGGGAAGTAACGGTCTTCTGATGGAGTGGATTGCCTTCTGAGGGAAGTAATTGTTGCAATCCAGAGCAGGGAACGAGGCCCTAAGATAACTATCCACCACACTTGACTGTGAAAAACAATCCTTTTTTATTGAAGAAAAATGGTTACAAAATAAAGGAAAAATGCAAGTCAAGAGCCACAGCAAAATCAGCAAACATGAATTTAAATGAACAAAACAAAACCCAAAACCACACAGTTAACTGGAACCTGTTAGTAATCCACTAACCATGCTTGATATCCTAGAAATCTTTCAAGACCATGGCCAGGGAAACCGGGAGAACTGCCAAGGTCTTCATTAATCTGAAACGATGCCTGAACTGAGAAAGTCAGCCCGGCGGAAGGCACTTCAAGCCAAAGAATTGGTTCCGTGAACCGCCCCTCTGCTTTGAAGCCATTGTTTGTATTTCTCTTAATTGGGAAGACCTACGCAAGCTGAGTGATTTACTTCTGTCTTGCCAGATCTGGCCCCTTCTGTTCTCATTAGAGTTACCAGGTGCAAAAGGGAGTGAAAGTTCATGGCTTCCCTCTGAAACATTCTCATGAACACTGGTACTTTCATTTTCCAAATCTACAGAAGTTTCTTCCTCACTAATTTCAGGAGCATTGGCATTTTCCAAATCTACAGAAGTTTCTTCCTCACTAATTTTAGGAGCATTGGCATCAAGAGGTACATTTTCATTAGCATCAGTAAATATATTTTCATTAGCATCAGGAGGAACAAACAGAGAATCAGGTTCAAGTTCAAACTCAGGCTGAACCCCAACAGTAATGGTCTTCTGATGGAGTGGATTGTCTTCTGAGGGAAGTAATGGTCTTCTGATGGAGTGGATTGCCTTCTGAGGGAAGTAATCATCTTCTGATAGAGTGGAATTCCTTCTGAGGAAAGTACTGGTCTTCTGATGGAGTGGATTGTCTTCTCGGGGAAGTAATGATCTTCTGATGGAGTGGATTGCCTTCTGAGGGAAGTAATGGTTTTCTGATGGAGTGGATTGCCTTCTGAGTGAAGTATTGGTCGTCTGATGGAGTGGATTGCCTTCTGAGGGAAGTAATGGTCTTCTGATAGAGTGGACTGCCTTCTGAGGGATTTAATGGTCTTCTGATGGAGTGGATTGCCTTCTGAGGGAAGTAATGGTCTTCTGATAGAGTGGATTGTCTTCTGAGGGAAATAATGATTACTTCCCTCAGAAAACAATCCACTCCATCAGAAGACCATTACTTCCCGCAAAAGACAATCTGCTCCATCAGAAGACCATTACTTCGCTCAGAAAACAATCCGCTCCATCAAAAGTCCATTACTTCCCTCAGAAGACAATCCAGTCAATCTTTGGAAGACCATTACTTCCCTCAGAAAACAATGATCTTCTGATGGAGTGGATTGTCTGATGGGGTTCACCTCCAAGTCTAGGAGTCTATGGCTCTGCAGTTTGTATTTCTGCATTACTCCTTCCCTCCAACCATTTTTGCTTTTAGACTGCATGCCTTTGGCAGGAATGGTTGTCCATTTTATTGCTTTATTCTGCTTGATCCTATTGCAGCAGCTGAGGATGTGATCTATTGTTTTGCCTCTTCCCAGCAGTGTCTATACTTGGGATCTGTCATCGACTTTTCAGTTCTGGCTTGGATGGCCTTGGTTGTAATGGCTTGTTCTTGGGCTGCCAGAATCAGGCCCTCCTTTGTCTCCAAAGTTGTGAGCCACAGCCATGTTTTTTCTTTGTGAATTTGGCTCTCAATGTTTCCCAGGAACTGTCTTAAAGAATTGGGTCTGTTTAGGATGTCACAAGAAAGAGGGAGGGGGCTTCCTTTCTGCTGCCCTGGAGATGCGGACTTAATGGAGCCATGGGTTCAAATGACAGAAAAGGAGATCCCAACCGAACATTAGGAAGAACTTCCTGGCTGTAAGAATACCTGTTCAGCAGCGGAACTCTCTGCCTCGGAGTCTGGAGGAAGCCCCTTCCTTGGAAACTTAAACAGAGGTTGAATGGCCATCTGTCAGGGGTGCTTTGATGGTGGACTGGATGGCCCTTGGGCTCTCTTACAACTCTGATTGTATTGCATATCACAAAATGATTGATTCTAGTTGATCAACAACAGTTGATTGTACACTGGGGAGGGGGACGACATTAACAATTTGCAGTAATTAGATTACTTTATATAACACTTGCTAGTGTTTGGCCGAGCGATTCTCCTCTGGAGCTTTGGCCCCACGGCTGCAGACACTCTTTGTGGAGCAAATGATAGTATGACGAAGGGCCCTTTTGGGAGGAGTTCTGCATCTCCAGAGGGTTTGTTAATGAGGATACACTATTTTTCCCTGTAAGAACCAAATGAGGAGCAAAGGGAATTGTTAAAAAGTTTGTTGTCTTCTTGGATGAGAAAAGCTGTGGATTTCATCATTTATCTTAGACTAGCTTGGGGACCCGGCTGCCCGGGTAATTTGAGAAAGGCATTGTGCGCCAAGGTTGGTCTTTGTCAGTTATTTATGTGGCTCGCAGTGCTCTCAGGAAGTTAGTGAAGGTACTGCGAGTCCCATCGTCCATGGTCCATCGTTCTCCAAACAGCACCAGGATGTAGAGTGGGTCATGGGGGCTCTGTGTGCCAAGTTTGGTCTTGATCAGTTATTACAGCATTCTCGGGAAGTGAGCGAAGGTACTTCAAGTCCCATCATTCAGATGATCAGAATCTCCTTGAAGTTCCCAATTTGAGGACCTTTCACCTGATGTCTACTAGGCGCAGAGCATTCACGGTGGTGGCTCCTTACCTGTGGAATGTCTTGCCAGCGGAAACACGAGCTCTCCGAGACTTACTATCTTTTTGTAGAGCTTGTAAAACTTATTTATTTAGGCTGGCATTTGAATCTTGCTGATTGATATTTTTCTTTGATTTTAAATGTAATTTTTCGCTTAGGTATATTGTAAACCGCTCCGAGCCTTCGAGGAGTGGTGGTATATAAATTTGATTGTTGTTGTTCATTCGTTCAGTCGTCTCCGACTCTTCATGACCTCATGGAACAGCCCATGCCAGAGCTCCCTGTCGGCCGTCACCACCCCCAGCTCCTTCAAAGTCAGATAAATAAATAAAATAATAATCTGTGGTCTATCTTCCTCCAAACCACACCAGGATGTAGAGTGGGTCATGAGGGCTCTATGTGCCAAGTTTGGTCTTGATCAGTCATTGGATGAGTGTCAGTGTTTGTATGTTGAGGGAGGACGGTGTATGTGGCAGCTTTCTAATTGGCTACCACTWTCACAGGCCGCTGTGACCAGCARGGATAACGGACCTTTCTTCCTTCTCTACCTCTTTCCTTCCTTTACTTTTTGCTTCCATCCTTCTTTCTCTTTCCTTCCCTCCCTTTCTCTCCTTTCTTCCTTCTCTACCTCTTTCCTTTGCTTTTTGATTCCATCCTTCCTCCTCTTTCCTTCCCTCCCTCCCTTTCTCCTTTCCCTCCTTCCTTCACTCTCTTTCCTTCCCATATTTTCTTTCCTTCTCTCCTTCTTTCCCTACATCTTTCTTTCCTTCTCCTTCTCTTTTCCTTCTTCTTTCTCTCCTTCCTTCCTTCTTTCTTTCCCTCCCTCCCTCTTTCTCTCTCTCTTCTTTCTCCCCCTCCTTCCCTTTCTTTCTGTACTGTCATTTAGCTTTTCATCATTTAGCTTTTTGGGGGGTTTTAAGTCCTTTCCACTGTTTTTTTGGGGAGGGGGGGTTATGAGCGATGGTCACTCTGTAAGACTGTAGGATCTATATAGCAATATTAAATAACCACTCACAAGTTGTTTTTGCTTTGAAATGGATATATTGCTTGTATCTCTGCAGCAAAGAAAGACACTACTGAATTTTCCCCACCACCACTTCCTTTTATACACCTTTCCTGCCCATCTCCCCCTCTTCTCAGTTTCCTCATTAGAACTTGTTGCTTCACAAGTTCCAATACAAGGTTTCCAGCGCCCTCAAATTTCACAAGAGAGAGAATTGATTCAGCCAGGATGGTTCAGTCAGGATGTCACGGAGGAGATTTGTGATGTCTTCATGCCGTCAGAAATTGACTCCTGACACACTCGTTGGTCTGTTAGGAGTATAGTGTCCACATTTGGTGTCAATTTGCCCAGTGTGTTATATTAATCCCACAAATGAACATTACATTTTGATTTATATAGATAAAAAGCCTCCCAAGGAATTTGGATGAAAACCAGAGCTCAAGTGCCTTATTGCGGTGAGCGGCAAACAAGGTCAGATGCGCTACATTCTCTGCTAATTACAGATAAGGACTCTGTAGTGTTTTGGTTCATGTTAACGGCTTGCCTTTAGTCCCACTCACAGCTCCGGGAGGATGTGAAAGGAAGGAATGATCCCTGTAGTTATTCAGCAGGTGTTTTGTTTGTTTATATTAAACCCTGAACTGACAAAGCCACAACCTGGATCCACAGGTTGTTTTAGAAGTTTTTATTTAACAAAGGAAATCAGAGGAAAAATGACCTTGCGCCTGACAGCATGAGACCCTCCAGTGTGACCCACCATTGAGATGATGGCTACCACAAAGATTTGGGAGAAAATGAAGGACTTTACAGGTGTCATGAGTAGATTGAACGAAATTACACGATTGACATCTGGCAAGGGCCTATTAAGGCTTGGCAAGACTGAAGATATCATCCTTAGAAGATTGACACCTAAAAATGACATTATGGAGGAAGTAAACATTGACTGTGGCACGAAAACTGCTGAACTGACAAAAACTGGCCTGGGAACTTTTGGGGGTAATTGACACACACGAGGGTTGAATGAAAAGTAATGCCTCCGCCTTCGTTACTTGGGTTGGGATGGGAATATTTTAATTAATCAAACTCAGAAATAATCCTTTAACTACCACTATTCACTTTTCCACACAATCACCAGACAATTGGATACATTTCTGCCAACGATGAACAAGTTTTCTGAAGCTGTCACGGAAGAAGTCGACACTCTGTTTCCGCAACCAGCGTCTCACTGTTCTCTCATCCTGGGAACCCATCGTGCACAGATCTTCCGATAGCCAAGCAAAGCAATAATGTGACCCACACGTTCTTGTGAAATGCCGATTATGTTTGAAATTTCTCTCTGAGTTATATGATGATCATCCTTATCTCCTGATAGCAATAGGGAACTGGACTTCTTCTTTGGGCCACAAAATATTCACAACAGGAGCCCAGTCCCAGGGTAAACATTGGATCTGTTTCGCCTTGATGGAATCCTGTCTACCTCCAAACGAGACCTCGGCATGGCAATGCAAGGCATTAGACGCCTTCATCCACCTGCCTCTGTCCAGCTGTATTCTGGTCGGGAGTGGATGGCTTCCTTGGGTTCATTGGGGTCCGGCTCCCTGCGCAGGTGGGGCTCCTCATCCCGGAACCAGTCCTCTTCACTGAACTCTGGGAAGAAGAAGGCGATTTCCCTGCTGGCCGACAGGGCTGAATCTGCCAAAAGAGATGAGAGAGGAACAAACATGACAAACTGTTCAACAGTGGACCTTTCTTCCTTGGAGTTTGGTGGAAGCTCCTTCTTTGGAAGCTTTTAGACAGAACCTGGATGGCCATCTGTTAGGAGTGCTTTGATTGTGATTTTCCTGCATGGCAGAAAGAAGGGGATGGACTAGATGGCCTTCAGTGGTCTCTTCTAACTCCAGGATGCTATCAGCAGAGGCCATACAGAGAAAAATAGGGACAAGACAACACACAAAGCGGACAACCGGCAATTTCAGGGAGAGGATATGTGCAGACATTACCAGCAGGTTGGGCTCACTTTCAACATTTATTAGCCATGTATAACGGATAGGCTTAGGGCATTTAACTCAAACTTATTAAGGCAAAATAATCTTCAGGCTGATGTCACCATTTTAAAGTTCTAGGCTGAGGTGATTTCGATTAGAGAAGCTTTAAGTCTTCGCTGCCACCAAATGTATAGAACCTGTTTCTCCAACTCGTTTAGAGATTCTTCAGCAAATCTGCTTTAAATGTTTATACGCAGAGGCACACATGAGGCAGATGTTGTGAACAATGAAACAATGATGTTTATTTCAGAGAACTTGAACAAATTAGGTATTAAGCTTAGTTGGTTTTAAAGTATTGGCATAAAAGGCTTGTGGTTACTTTTAAGCAGTTCCATTCTTAAACACTTCTTGGTCACACTTAAACTCCTAACTCCTTCACAGGAATCTAGCAGTCTTCTCACTGAATTAGACTTCTTTGATTACAAACAGTCCTTTCTCTCTACCTACCTTAAAAACCCAGAGTCTATCTGACTCACTCAAACACCAGAACCTAACTCTTCAACACCCAAAACCAATCTGCCTGACGGTTTCAAAACCTTCCCTTAAAGACATTTTTTTTCCTTTTCCAAGTTAGGCTCTGCCCACTCTTTCTCAGCCAACTCATCTTCCCTCATTTTCCTTCAAAACTGCTCTTTCTAAACACGCCCCTTTCAGGAAAATGAGTAAATAACATAGATTCCCCCGGCACCCTTTCCAAAATGGTTGCCAACTACTTTTTCAGGTGTTTCCAAGCCTAACGGGCAGGGAATTCACTACAGCATGGGGATATCAGGAATGAAAGCCAGCTTGGTGCTTCCATAACTGGAGAAGAGAGTCCAAATGTCCATTGGGTGACCCTCTCTCTGCCTCAGGGGATGGCAACCCCAGAAGTTGACTTTTACACTAACGGCCCTTTCCCAACCGGAATGTGAACAATGACAGGGTGTTTGTTTGTTTGTTTGTTTATTTATTTAAAACATTTATATTCCGCCCTTCTCACTCAGCAGGGGACTCAGGCCAGAGCACATCATATATACGGCAAACATTCAATGCCAGGACATAAAACCATAAATATATAAAAACATTAAAATCACTTATATCCACTTCAAAATTAGTTGCTTAAAAACCATCTCAGGACAGCATTCTGTTATTGACCCATTGCCCTGCCCCAAAGGCTTGGACTCACAGCCAGGTCTTTGACATCCTTCTGAACGACAGGGAGGGAGGGGGCTGATCTAATACCCCTGGGGAGGGAGTTCCATAGCCGGGGAGCAATCACTGAGAAGGCCCTGTCTCTCGTCCCTGCCAAACGCGCCTGTAACAGCGGCAGGACCGAGAGCAGGGCCTCCCCAGAAGGTCTTAGTTTCCGCAGTGGTTGCGTTTGGACAGGTAAACTGGGCTGGGGCTGTTGAGGGCTTTATAGGCCAAAGCCAGCACTTTGAATTGTGCCCAGTAGCAAACAGACAACCAAGAGAGGAGATTCCATCTGAACATGAGGAAGAACTTCCTGACTGTGAGAGCCGTTCAGCAGTGGAACTCTCTGCCCCGGGGTGTGGTGGAGGCTCCTTCTTTGGAAGCTTTTAAGCAGAGGCTGGATGGCCATCTGTCAGGGGTGATTTGAATGCAATATTCCTGCTTCTTGGCAGAATGGGGTTGGACTGGATGATGGCCCAGGAGGTCTCTTCCAATTCTTTGATTCTAGGATTCTAGTGGAGCTGTCGCAACATGAGAGTTGTGTGCTCCCTGTATGCAGCCCCAATTACTAACCTGGCTGCCTCTCGTTGGACTATTTGAAGCTTCCGAGCAGTCTTCAAAGGCAACCCCATGTAGAGTGCGTTGCAGTAGTCTATCCTATATGTAACGAGATCGTGGACCACCATGGCCAAGTCTGACTTCCCAAGGTACGGGCGCAGCTGGTGCACAAGTTTTAATTGTGCAAAAGTTCCCTTGCCACCACTGCAACCCAAGGAGCCAGGCTCAGCGATGAGTCCTGGAGAAGTCCCAAGCTGAAAACCTGTGCCTTCAAGGGGACCTTGGGAAACTATAACTCCCAGGAGCACATAGTACAGAGCAATGGTCTTTAAAGTGGGGTCCAAGAGCATTAATTACAACAGTGTAGATACATAAAGAGAAGGGTATGGACCTTGGGAAACTATAACTCCTAGGACTACGTCGTATGGCGTTATGGTGTTTAAAGTGGGGTCCAAGAGCATGCATTCCATACATCAAGAAAATAGTATGGACCTTAGGAAATTATAACTCCCAGGAGGACTCCATTGCATGGAGCCATGGCGTTTAAAGTGGGGTGCAAGGGCATTCATTCCATACTGTAAATGCACCAAGAGAAGGGTACAAGCCTTGGAAAACTATGACTCCCAGGACTGCACAGCATGGAGATATGGCATATAATAATAATAATAATAATAATAGTAATAATAATAATAATGGCGGCATTTAAAATGGGCCTGACTGCATTTATTCTCCAGCACAATGCATCCAGAGAAGGGTATGGGCCTTGGAAAACTATGACTCCCAGGACTGCACAGCATGGAGATATGGCATTAATAATAATAATAATAATAATAATGGCATTTAAATGAGTTCCGACTGCATTTATTCTCCAATACAGATGCAACCAGATGCATCCAGCCCAACCTAGTTCTACCATGCAGGAAGGCACAATCGAAACCCTCCTGACAGATGGCCATCCACCCTCTGCTTAAAGACCTCCAGAGGAAGAGATTCCACCGGACTTTTAGGCAGTCTACATTCTAGGAATGGATTCTTTAAGGCAGGCATGGACCAACTTTGGCTCTCCTTCCAGGTGTTTTGGATTTTAATTGTTAGGAAGGCTGCTAGGAATTGTGGGAGTTAAAGTCCGAAACACTTGAAGGGAGGGCCAAAATTGGCCCATGCCTGCAGGACACCATTCTGGCCCTTTTAGTACAAAGCATGAGCCTAAGGTGTTCATTCCCCCACATCCCGCATCCCATTTCTTCTGAACTCACCTGAGCCGTGCACCGTGTTCCTGGTGTCGGTGAGGCCAAAGGCTCCGCGGATGGACTCTGGGTGGGTGTGTTGGGCGCGGAACACCTTGGTGGGGCCCATCAGGGACCTCCAGAGGGAAATGGCTTCCTGGTGGGCCAGGATGTAGGCCCGCATTGGGCCGCTGGAGACACAGGGGTGCAGAGAGATACAAAAAGATCAATATTTGAATTTTGAATGAATTCGGAATGATTGACGATGCACTTGGGTCATGGTTTTAGTAAAGAGACGTTGAAGATTATATTTTAATGGCTTTGTCTGTTTTTAATACTATATGTTAATGTTTTAATTGCATTTATAATCTGTTTTTAACTTGCACTTTATAGTTGTGAAGGCATCAAATGGCTGCCAATTGTGAACCGCCCTGAGTCGCCTTCGGGCTGAGAGGGGTGGTATACAAGTGTAGTAAATAAATAATATATCCCTGAACATTACTTCTTCAACAGCAAAGGTAGCACCACCAGCAGAAATAATATGCATAGTATAGGGACAAGTTACTACACTGAAAAAGAAGTAATTCCAACATGCTGCAGCAGAAAAGACCAAAACCAAGGTGACAGCAACATCCGTTATAGAACTCCAGTATGCTAATGACAACGTCATCTATGCGCATTCAGAAGAAGATCCACAAGCTACCTTTGCAGAAGCATACGAGAAGCTCGGCCTGTCACTGAATATCGAGAAAACCAAAGTGCCCTTCCAGCAATCACCAGCCAACCCCTCTCCAATGCCAGAGATACAGCTTAATGGTGTAACATTAAAAAATGTGGACCATTTCTGCTCCCTTGGCAGAGCTCTGCAAGTGCAGCATTTTTCTGAATGAAGCAGAGAGTGTTTGAGGACCAGGACATCTGAAGGGGCTTTGTTGATAAAGCTATTGTCCTCCCAACCCTGCTATACGCCTGCGAAATGTGGACTGTCTACAGACATCAACATTGAGACTGAAATACAACACCGCCTGAGCTCTGCGAGCGCAGCATTTTTCTGAATGAAGCAGAGAGTGTTTGAGGACCGGGACATCCGTAGGGATACCAATGTGCTTGTCTATAAAACTATTACCCTCCCAACCCTGCGAAACGTGGACTGTCTACAGATGTCACATGCAACTCCTGGAACAATTCCATCAGCATTGCCTCCAAAAATCCTGCAAATCTCTTGGGAAGACAGGCAGGGAAACGTCAGCATGCTGGAAGAAGCAAAGACCACCAGCATTGAAGTGATGGTCCTCTGCCATCAACTCCACTGGACCGGCTACATTGTCCGAATGGCCGACCACCGTCTCCCAAAGCAGTTGCAGGAAAAGAGATTGAAAGATGGGCTCAAAGCCAACCTTAAAAACTCTGGCATAGACACTGAGAACTGGGAAGCCCTGGCCCTTGAGCGCTCCAGTTGGAGGTCAGCTGTGACCAGCAGTGCTGCAGAATTTGAAGAGGCACGAATGGAGGGAGAAAGAGAGAAACGTGCCAAGATGAAGGCGTGTCAAGCCAACCCTGACCGGGACCGCCTTCCACCTGGAAACCGATGCCCTCACTGTGGGAGAAGATGCAGGTCAAGAAGAGGGCTCCACAGTCACCTATGGACCCACCAGAATACTGATCCTGGAAGACTATTCTACTCGGCCAATGAGGGATCGCCTAAGTAATTAAGTAAGTAAGTACTCTCCTCTGCCAAAGAATGCTGGTGCTTCACTAAACTGTAACTCCAAGGAATCCATAGCATGGAGCCAGGGCAAATAATAATAAAAACTGTACCTGTCCGAACGCATCTCCCTCTACATCCCACCTCAGAGTTTGAGATCTTCTGGGAAAGTCCTGCTCTCGACCCCACCTCTATCACAAGTGAGATTTGTGGGGACGAGGAGCAGGGCCTTCTCGGTGGTGGCCCCTAACCTGTGGAATTCACTCCCCGGGGAAATTAGGTCATCGACAACCCTCCTCTCTTTCAGAAGGAAATTAAAAATATGGTTGTGGGACCAGGCTTTCGGGCAATCTGGCGGTTAGATAAGGACAATGACGACCAGAATCGATAGTACTTGACAATGTGGAATGAATTTACGGACTCTTGAGATGGCGAACGCTGAGCATTAGACTGTTTTTATTTATTTTGATGTATATACTGACTGCCTTAATTGTTATAATTGCTGTTTACATGTTTTATCCATTGTTATGTTTACGCTGGCATCGAATTGTACCTTTGTAAGCTGCCCTGAGTCCCCCCTCGGGGTTGAGAAGGACGGGATAGAAATACGTGAAATAAATAATAATAATAAATAATAAAAATATTCCTTTTGCCCCCAGACTGATTTATCCCAGTTGCTGTTCTTTTTTGGCTTGAAGAGCTGGCCGCACCTCTTTGGCTGATTGGTGGTAACGCTCATATGCTGTCAAGTGACACTGAGGTGGTGCTCTTGCATCAGACCGGTGAGAGACACGTGTTTTTAGTGCAAAAGGTAAACCGGAATGGCCTTTGGGAACTTGGATGTGGGATGCAATGAGGGTAAACACAGCACAGAGAAAGCAAGAAGGTGCCCTGCGATGCTTAGGAAGAAAAGAAGACAGCAAGGGCCTACCTGGCCATGAACTCCACCAGCCTCTGATAGAAAAACCGACCTGAAAAATAAAAATAAAGGGAATTTCTGAGAGACAGAGATATTTCAACCCTTCTCTAAAACAGTCATTCACTTTTCCATGTTGTTTCTATCTCAAATGTCAGCTGCCTGATGAAATACAGAAGCTAATAATAATAATAATAATAATAATACTTTATTTTCCCCCCGCCACCATCTCCCCAATGGGGACTCGGAGCAGCTTACATGAGGCCAAGCCCAGACAACATGTTACAGCAAAATAACACCAAAACATAAACAATAAACAACATCATCAAAATTACATATTGTGTGTGTGTGTGTGTATGCTCTGTGCATAATGAGTACCTTAAAAACAAAAGAACCAATGAACGAAATCACACCAAATTTGGCAACAAAACATCTCACAATACAAGGAGTGACCATCACTCAGAAAATTATGATTTTGTCATTTGGGAGTTGTAGTTGCTGGGATTTATAGTTCACCTACAATCAAAGAGCATTCTGGACTCCACCAATGATGGAATTGGACCAAACTTGGCACACAGGCCTCCCATGACCAACAGAAAATACTAGCAGCATTTGGTGGGCATTGACCTTGAGTTTGGGAGTTGTAGTTCACCTACATCCAGAGAGCACTGTGGACTCAAACAATGATGGATCTGGACCAAACTTGGCACGAATATTACATATGCCCAAATATGAACACAGATGGAGTTTGGGGGAAATAGACCATGGGATTTGAAAGCTGTAGTTACTGGGATTTATAGTTCACCTACAATCAAAGAGCATTCTGAACTCCACCAATGATGGAATTCAACCAAACATGGCATACAGGACTTCCATGACCAACAGAACACACTGGAAGGGTTTGGTGGGCATTGACCTTGAGTTTGGGAGTTGTAGTTCACCTACATCCAGAGAGCACTGTAACACAAAAGGGTGTTACTAAGTATACGCTTCACATACAACTCAGCCTGAATATCAAACAAAAAGGTGGCAGCAAAAACAATTGAAGAAACAGTTTCAAGCTCTCCCAGTTGCCTCTTCCCTGTTTTAAAAATCCCCCTGCACCTATATATGATTTGGTTGGCAGATTGTGGGATTCACTATTTTAAAATTCCCTGTCCCTTTCCCTGCTAACTTCCTTATAATTAACGGCAATTGGCTGGTATAGTTTCCCCAGGTTCCTTATAATTGGTGCTACAGCGGTGCAATATCAGACTCTGGGGTTTGGTGCTTATTGTAAAGATCCCTTACCTTGCCAGCCAGGGTGGCAGGGCCAGGAAGAGACAGGCTAGGTAGTTTCAGCTTAGAAGGCCTGGCAGAGAGCTGCTGGAGCCATCTTAGTTTAGGAAAAGCTCCAGTTCAGAGAGGGGGAGTGGCCTAGGCCTGAGCCAGCCCAGCAACAGCCAGGATTGGTTTGGAAAAGAGGGGCGGAGTTAGCCAGATGGAGGGAAAGAGAACAGCCTAGTTTTGACAGTTCAGTTTTTAGTTTAGAAGAGAGCAGTTCTGAGTAGAGTAGAGAGCAGTTCAGTTCTGAGAGAGATTAGAGTAGGATTTGGATGTATTAGGAGTTCGTTATTAGAATAGGCAGTTTGCCTGGAGTTTGCACAGTGAAATAGGCTGTGGCAAACTGGTTACAGCTATTTTAGGGAAAAAATAGCTGGGTTTTGTGTTTAAGAAATTGTAACAAAGGAAAGAACCATTCTCTCAAGTAACCATTACGCTTCTAAGAAACAAGAACACTTTTATTTGTAACCGCTAAGCCTCTGAACCTGCATTCACTTATAATTCTGAAATCTGTAATCAATAAACTCTTTCTTGTTATTTTTAAAACTTAAGCCTGAGTCAAGTGCCATTTTTGGTTGGAGTCCTTTTCTTCGTTGAATCAACCTCTCCATTTTTTCCCCTCAAAGAAAGCCCTTGTTATTACACAGTATTTGGTGGAGTAAAAAAGCCTTTTAATAATTTAAACAGCCTTTTACATTCTAAATAGCTAGAGGGTTCGTTATTCTTCAGTTTATGGTGGCAGCGAAGGTTTTAAAGAAAGAGACATTCCCTCAAACGCTATAAGAGCCAAAGTGGTGTGAATTCCTTATTGAAGGAGGGACAGTGTTGGGATCTGCTTGCCCCCTGTCCAGTGATATTGTTTGGCCATCAAGAAATTATATTATTATAATTTGGGGACAGTGGTGGGATTCTTTGACCCCCTGCCCAGACGGCCAATTAAGGAGGGTATTATACTTATCTCCATTTCCAAGCCAAAGAGCCGGCGTAGTCCATAGAAGCCTCCAAGGTCATATGGATGGCATGACTGCATGCAACGCTGTTACTTTCCTGCTGAGGCAGTACCTATTGATCTACTCACACATGCATGTTTTCAAAATGCTAGGTTGGCAGAAGCTGGGGCTAACAGCGGGAGCTCACCCCGTCCCACGGATTCAAACCGCCAACCTTCTGGTCAGCAAGTTCAGCAGCTCAGTGGTTTAAACCACTGCACCACCGTGGCCCCATAAAAAGCATGGTTATACAGCATTATTTCTAACGGGAATAGGATAATAAAATTAAGTCAGCACACAAGGAGTGTGAGGTTTGTAGAATAGTTTCCGTAGTGTTGTGTGTTTAAGTACAGGCAGTCTGCAAGTGACTGACAAGATAAGTTCGACAGGTTTGTTCTTAAGTTGAATTTGTATGTAAGTCAGAACAGGTACATTTTTTTAAAGTGTAACTCCAACCTAATATATAAATAAATACATGCATACATACATATTAGGTATGGGCAATCCATGGTTCTAAATGTTTCTAAAGTACTTACAAAATTTAAGTTCCGGTGGCGAAAAGTAGGGGGCGCTGGTGCTTTGCTTCTACAGTGTTGCTAAAGTTTTGGTGGTGAAAATTTCAGAACTCTTAACAAAACTTTCAAAATTTTGTTATAAATGGCAGTTCCTAATTGTTTCTGTCATAAAAATCGCCAATAATGAAATAATAATGAAATTTTGAAAGTTTTGTTAGAGTTCTGAAATTTTCACCACCAGAACTTTAGCAACACTTTAGAAGGAAAGCACCAGTGCGCCCCCTAGTATTCACCAGCAGAACTTTAGTTTTGGAAGTACTTTACAACCATGGATTGCCCATGCTTAATACATATAAATAAAAGTTTGGGATAGCATAGGGAAGGGTCAATACTCCTGTGTTGTTTCCTTTGCTCTCTGCGCCCCCTATTTCACCTCACTTTCTATTCCTGCAAGAATTGGGTTTTGGAAAATTGGGCTTGTTGTGGAAACAAAGATTGGAGATAAAGCTTCAGTGGAGACACTTTTCCTCCATGTTAAGGACTCTTTCAGGAGTGGATTTCCCTTCGAGAGGGGCAGATCTTTCTCACTTCCTGTTGTTTCATCCCCGTTCTTGACTACACGTATTTGTTCGGCAATGGGCAAACTTCAACTCTCCAGGTGTTTTGGCCTTCAACTCCAACAGTTGGTAAGCTGGCTGGGATTTCTGGGAGTTGTCGTTCAAAACACCCGGAGGGCCGAAGCTTGCCATGCCTGGTGTATGTTGTGAGAGAGTGGGTTTGCTTTAGATCTGTGTGTGGGTTGTTTGGGGGCCTGTTTGATCCCACCTGAATGCTCCTTGTAGAAGCGCTGGCTCTCCTGCCGGCTCCACCGCAGGTCCTTGCTCCTGACAATCAAGAATCTGTTCTCCATGATAATTTGATGCACCGCCTGGGTAGAAAAGGAGAGTAATCCATGTGTAATTACACCTGCGGATCCAGAGTGGCCTTGAAAAAGATCTTGGAGTCCTCGTGGACAACAAGTTAAACATGAGCCAACAATGTGACGTGGCGGCAAAAAAAGCCAATGGGATTTTGGCCTGCATCAAGAGGAGCCTTGTGCCTAGATCTAGGGAAGTCCTGCTCCCCATGCTCTATTCCGCTTTGGTTAGACCACACCTGGAATATTGTGTCCAATTCTGGGCACCACAATTCAAGAGAGATATTGACTCTAAGCTGGAATGTGTCCAGAGAAAGAGGGCGACTAAAATGATCAAGGGTCCTGAGAACAAGCCCTATGAGGAGCGGCTTAAGGAGCTGGGCATGTTTAGCCTGAAGAAGAGAAGGCTGAGAGGAGATATGATAGAGCCATGTATAAATATGTGAGAGGAAGCCACAGGGAGGAGGGAGCAAGCTTCCTTTCTGCTTCCCTGGAGACTAGGACGCAATGGAACAATGGCTTCAAACTACAAGAGAGGAGATTCCATCTGAACATGAGGAAGAACTTCCTGACTGTGAGAGCCGTTCAGCAGTGGAACTCTCTGCCCTGGAGTGTGGTGGAGGCTCCTTCTTTGGAAGCTTTCAAACAGAGGCTGGATGGCCATCTGTTGAGAGTGCTTTGAATGCAATATTTCTACTTCTTGGCAGGGGGTTGGACTGGATGGCCCATGAGGCCTCTTCCAACTCTAGGATTCTAACTGGTAGTTTTTAGGCCTGGGTAACAACGGAAAAATTTGTTTCTAAAATCGATTTGTATTTGGGGGGTTTTTTTGTTTCGATATTTAAAATAATTACAAAATTTTCCTTTTAAAAAGTTCGATATTTACGAAATTTCGTAAATGGTAAAAAATTAACGAATCGATTTCCGAAACAATAACGAATCGATTCGTTAATGGCGGACGCGACCACGAAATACGCTAATAAACCTCCAAAACCTTCTGAAGCTTCCCTCTCCCTCTGTTGTTGACTGTTGGTGTGATATTATAATTTTTTTTCACTAATTAAACCATAAAACTGGCCCAGACATGCGGAAATAATAACGAAACGACCTCAAAACAATAACGAAACGAATACAATATCGAAATACGAAGCATTTACAAAACGTTTTTGAAAATTCGTTTTTTTGAATAATTGCTCCAGAATGGTTCGTTATCGTTTTGTAATTGAAAAAATTAACGAATTATTAACGAATTACGAATTAACGAAACGAAACCGCCCAGCCCTAGTATTTATACAAAACTGTAATTTAAGATAAGACTGCCCAACTCTGATTCAACCATTATTCTAACCTCCTTCAATGTAAATGTGCTTACCTACTACCTATAATGATAGAATAAAATAATAAATGTAATAACATGTAATAAAAATAATAATAGTGTAAATAATGGAAATTTAATAATAATAGTAATAATAATAATAAAGTAGTACATGTAATAATAACAATAACGCAGTAAAATAATAAAGGCAATAAATATAATAATACAGTAAAATAATGTAAATGTAATAATAATAGAGTAAAATAATAAATGTAATAAAAGTTATAATAGAGTAAAATAATGTAAATGTAATAATACTAATAGAGTAAAATAATAAATGTAATAAAATAATACCAATAGCAGAGTAAAATAATAAATAACCTTGACTCGAGTATAAGCCGAGGGGATTTTTTTCATCCTAAAAAAGGGGCTGAAAAACTAGGCTTATACTCGAGTATATACATTAATCCATGTGTAAATACACCTGCGGGTGCAGAGTGGCCTTTAAGTTAGCCATGGGCCAACTTTGGCCTGCCCTCCAGGTGTTTTGGATTTCAACTCCCACAATTCCTAACAGCTTGCTGACTGGGTTGCTGTGAGTTTTCTGGGCTGTCTGGCCATGCTCAAGCAGCATTGTCTTCTGACATTTTGCCTGCATCTGTGGCTAATGGCATCTTCAGATGTTCTGTTGGCAGTGTGTATGATTGGCAACTGGAAAATAGAGGGAGAAACCGTGGAGGCCGTGACAGACTTTGTATTTTTAACCCTAAACGGTTCTGGCCCAACTTATCTATCCGAACGTATCTCAGCCTATCAGCCCACCAGGACCCTAAGATCTTCTGGAGAGTCCCTGCTCTCTATCCCTCCGGCTTCAGAAGTGCGGCTGGCGGGAACGAGAGACAGGGCCTTCTCTGTGGTGGCCCCTCGGCTTTGGAACACCCTCCCTATAGAGGTACGATCAGCCTCTTCGCTGATGGTGTTTCGGAAGAGATTGAAAACATGGTTGTTTACACAAGCATTCGGTTAATCCGTTGCAATCGAATTTAGGTGACCAAAGGACAGGTAATCATGGACAACGAATTTTGGATTGTGATTTTAGTTCGAGATGCATAGGATTATTATTGGTGGCCCAATAATTGGTATTGTATGTGTTGTATGTTTTATATTGAAGATTGTCTTTTTTAATTGTTGTAAACCGCAATGAGTCGCCGATTTAGGCTGAGATATTAGCGGTATACAAGTGTATAAATAAATAAATAGGTGCAAAGATTACTGCAGATGCAGACTGTAGCCAGGAAATCAGAAGACGCTTACTTCTTGGGAGGAGAGCAATGCCCAGTCTCGATAAAATAGTGAAGAGTAGAGACATCAGACTGACAACAAAGATCCGCCTAGTCAAAGCCATGGTATTCCCTGTAGTCACCTACGGATGTGAGAGCTGGACCTTAGGGAAGGCTGAGCGAAGGAAGAGAGATGCTTTTGAGCTGTGGTGTTGGAGGAAAGTTCTGAGAGTGCCTTGGACTGCGAGAAGATCCAACCAGTCCATCCTCCAGGAAATAAAGCCCGACTGCTCATTGGAGGGAAAGATACTAGAGACAAAGTTGAAGTACTTTGGCCACATTATGAGGAGACAGGAAAGCCTAGAGAAGACAATTATGCTGGGGAAAGTGGAAGGCAAAAGGAAGAGGGGCCGACCAAGGGCAAGATGGATGGATGGCATCCTTGAAGTGACTGGACTGACCTTGAAGGAGCTGGGGGTGGTAACGGCCGACAGGGAGCTCTGGCGTGGGCTGGTCCATGAGGTCACAAAGAGTCGGAGACGACTGAACGAATGAACAACAACAACAATGCGCATACACACACACAAACACAAATATTTGTGGAACAATGTCCAGGGTGGGAGTAAGAACCTTTGATTTTATTTATTTATTTATTTACTTTGCTTATATACCGCTGTTCTTTGATTGTTTGATGCAAGTGTGTATGTTGCCATTAGCAAGCTTGATTAGCATTGAGTAGTCATGATGTTTGCATTGTATGTTCTTTGGATCTTCTCAGGGTATTGCAGAAGGATTATGCTAAGTCAGTGGTTCTCAACCTTCCTAATGCTGTGACCCCTTAGGTGCAGTTCCTCATGTTGTGCTGACCCCCAACCACATTATATTTGTGTTGTGACTTCATAACTGTAATTTTGCTAATGTTATGAATTATAATGTAAATATCTGATATGTAAGATGTATTTTCATTCAATTTGGCACAAATACCCCATACGCCCAAATTTGAATACTGGTGGGGTTGGGGGGTGGATTTTGTCATTTGGGAGTTGTAGTTGCTGGGATTTATGGTTCATTTAAATTCAAAGAGCATTCTGAACTCCACCAAAGAGGCAATTGAACCAGATTTGGCACACATAACTCTCATGACCGACAGAAAATACTGGAAGGGTTTGGTGGGCATTGACCTTGAGTTTGGGAGCTGTAGTTCACCTCCATCCAGAGAGTACTGTGGACTCAAACAATGATGGATCTGGACCAAACTTGGCACGAATACTCAATATGCCCAAATGTGAACACTGGTGGAGTTTGAGGAAAATAGACCTTGACATTTGGGAGTTGTAGTTGCTGGGATTTATAGTTCACCTACAATTAAAACACCGTCTGAACCCCACCAATGATAGAATTGGGCCAAACTTCCCACACGGAACCCCCATGAGCAACAAAAAATGCTGAGTGTTCTGATGGTCTTTGGTGACCCATCCGACACCCCTTTGCGACCCCTCCAGGGGTCCCGACCCCCAGGTTGAGAAACACTGTGCTAAGTAATGTGTAGCTATCCCTTGAGGACTGAGGTGTCTACAGTGTTCTAGGGAGTTCAATGAAAAATAGTCTGAAACTAGGAAAGAGGTCAACACTGGCCCCTTGATTCATGTCTATGGAGACTATAGGGTTCATGCTTTTGGGTTTTGATTTTTTGAAAATGCCAGGATGAGAATGAATGGACTCTGTGCCATCCACATGATGCATGGAATCCATTCTCCCTTACACCCACCAAGGCTGCTTTATGCAGCCTTTCTCTTCTCTCCTATTTTGCATTGCTCTGCCACGCTATTTATTTATTTACAACATTTATTTGCCACCCCTCCCACCCCGAAGGGGACTCAGAGCAGTTTACAAGTTATATGTAAATATAATATATTACATTATTAACATAGCACAATATTAGTACCATACATTCCAATATTATACTACACCACTAAACTGTAATATTATTAATAATACTAGCCGTCCCCTGCCACGCATTGTTGTGGCCCACATGGGGGTTCTGTGTGGGAGATTTGGCCCAATTCTATCGTTGATGGGGTTCAGAATGCTCTGTGATTGTAGGTGAACTATAAATCCCAGCAAATACAACTCCTAAATGTCAAGATTCTATTTTCTCCAAACTCTACCAGTGTTCACATTTGGACATATTGAGTGTTCGTGTAGTTTGGTCCAGATCCATCATTGTTCGAGTCCACAGTGATCTCTGGATGAGGGTGAACTACAACTCGAAAACCAAAGGACACTGCCCACCAAACCCTTCCAGTATTTTCTACCGGTCGTGGGAGTTCTCCACCAATGATTATTCCATTCCATCATTGGTGAAGTTCAGAATGCTCTTTGATTGTAAGTGAAGTATAAATCCCAGCAACTACAACTCCCAAATGAGAAAATCAACCTCCCCTGAACCGGTGAACTGCAACTCCAAAACCAAAGGACACTGCCCACCAAACCCTTCCAGTATTTTCTGTTGGTCATGGGAAGAACTGTGTACCAAGTTTGGTTCAATTCCATCGTTGGTGGAGTTCAGAATGCTCTTTGATTGTAGGTGAACTATACATCCCAGCAACTACAACTCCCAAGTGACAAAATCATTTTTTTTGAGTGAAGGACTTACATTGGGTTGTTAGGTGTCTTGTGTCCAAATTTGGTGTCAATTTGTCCAGTGGTTTTTGAGTTCTGTTAATCCCACAAACGAACATTACATTTTTATTTATATAGACTAGCTGTACCCGCCACGTTGCTGTGGCCAACCTTCCCTCCCTCTTTCTCTCCTTCCTTCCCTCTTTCCTTCCTTTCCTCTTTTTCTTTCCCTATTTCTCTTCTTTCTTCCATCTCTACCTATTTCTTTCCCCTCTTTCTTTGCTCTTTGTACATCCTTCCTTCACTCCTTCCCTATGAGGGGAATTCAGCCTCTTTTAAGCAGAGGCTGGATGGCCATCTGTCAGGGGTGCTTTGAATGCAATATTCCTGCTTCTTGGCAGAATGGGGTTGGACTGGATGATGGCCCAGGAGGTCTCTTCCAACTCTAGGATTCTAGGATTCTATGAATTGTGAGAGTCCAAAACTCCTGGAAGGGAGGGCTTTAATGTCCTTACCTGGAGGATGAGTGGGTGAGCCACAGCATCAGGCTTGACCACAGCAAGGGTCAGCTGCAGCATGCGCCGAGGGACGGCCAAAGCGGTCATCATCCTTTCAGGAGCCCCTTTGCAGGAATCTGTCTGCACATGAGGTTTGGCGCCCAAGGGGATCCTGCCCGGGAAGCATCGACCTGAGGAAGAGCCAAGAGGGAGGCAGGCAAGTCAAATAATCATGACATAAATGGTCAGGAATCATACAATCCCAGAGTCAGAAGGGACCCTAAAGGTCATCTGGACCAACCCCTTTCTGAAAGGCAGGAAGACTCAATCAAAACCTCCTGCAGGAGAGATAAAGTGGGGCATAAATAAATAAATAATACTGCTGACCTCACAACCATGTTAAAAAACAAAATATGGATCGTTGAATTCCAGGTGACAGCAGGACTGCAGAGAAACAATTGGAAAAGCTGACATGATATGAGGATTTAAAAATCGAACTACAAAGACTCTGGCACTAGCCAGTCAAGGGGGTCCCAGTAGTGATCGGCACACTGGGTGCAGTGCCTAAAGACCTTGGCCTGCACTGAAACACAATTGGCGCTAGGTTCTTGTGGGTTTTTTCGGGCTATAGGGCCATGTTCTAGAGGCATTTCTCCTGACGTTTCGCCTGCATCTACGGCAAGCATCCTCAGAGGTAGTGAGGTCTGTTGGAATTAGGACAATGGGTTTATATATCTGTGGAATGTCTGGGGTGGGGCAAAGAGCTCTTCTCTGCTGGAGCTAGGTGGGAATGTTTCAACTGACCACCTTCATTAGCATTTGAAGCCCATTGTATGCTAATCAAGGTGGTCAGTGGAAAGATGTCTGTAGACAGTCCACGTCTCACAGGCATATTCCAGGGTTGGGAGGACAATAGCTGAGCCTGGGAAAATCTCTTGCTGAGAGGTGTTAAGATGTGCCTGGTTGTTTTCTCTCTGCTGTTTTGCTGTTGTAATTTTAGAGTTTTTTTAATACTGGTAGCCAGATTTTGTTCATTTTCATGGTCTCTTCCTTTCTGTTGAAATTGTCCACATGCTTGTCCAGCGGAGTTGAAGGCGGAGGACCATCGCTTCAATGCTGGTGGTCTTGGCTTCTTCCAGCACGCTGATGTTTGTCCGCTTGTCTTCCCAAGAGATTTGCAGGATTTTCTGGAGGCAGTGCTGATGGAATCGTTCCAGGAGTTGCATGTGACATCTGTAGACAGTCCACGTCTCACAGGCATATTCCAGGGTTGGGAGGACAATAGCTTTATCAACAAGCCCCTTGGTATCCCTATGGATGTCCCGGTCCTCAAACACTCTCTGCTTCATTCGGAAGAATGCTGCACTCAGAGCTCAGGTGCTGATGGAATCGTTCCAGGAGTTGCATGTGACATCTGTAGACAGTCCACGTCTCACAGGCATATTCCAGGGTTGGGAGGACAATAGCTCTATAAACAAGCCCCTTGGTCTCCCTTGGTGGAGAGGTGGCTGCCAAGATAGCGGAAATGATCAACATTTTCTAATGTTACCCCATTAAGCTGTATTTCTGGCACTGGAGAGAGATTGACTGGTGACTGCTGGAAGAGCACTTTGGTTTTTTCAATGTTCAATGACAGGCCGAGCTTCTCGTCTGCTTCTGTAAAGGTGTTTAGAGTGGCTTGTAGATCTTCTTCTGAAACACTCTAAAATTACAACAGCAAAATAACAGAGAGGAAACAACCAGGCACAGATTAACACCTCCCAGCAAGAGATTTTCCCAGGCTCAGGCAGGCCTTCAAATGCTAATGAAGGTGATCAGCTGAAACATTCACACCTAACTGCAGCAGAGAAGAGCTCCTTGCCCCACCCCAGCCATTCCACAGATATATAAACCCATTGTCCTAATTCCAACAGACCTCACTACCTCTGAGGATGCTTGCCATAGATGCAGGCGAAACGTCAGGAGAGAATGCCTCTAGAACATGGCCATATAGCCCGAAAAAACCCACAAGAACCTAGTCAGGAGAGAATGCTTCTGGAACATGACCATACAGCCTGAAAAACTCACAACAACCCATTATTATTATTATAATGGAAGACCATCTTATTCGTCCAACGAGGGATCGCCTAAGTAACTAAGTATTATTATTATTATTATTATTATTATTATTCTACCACAGGCCCAGAGCTTGCTGGTCTTGCAGCTCCCATTAGTTGGGAGACTACAACTCCCAGAATTCTCCCCTCTCAACCTGCATGAAAGGGGATTCTGGGAGTTGCTATTCCCCAACCACCACCAACACCCCCCCTCTCCCCAGGACCCTAATTCGGGTTGGAAGCGGATCGATGGCGGGTTTCTCACCAATGGGGAGGCTGCGGCCTAGTCGGGGCCTACTCTTAACTTTTGCCCAAACGAAGCCTGGCGGTGGGTAGGTGCTGTCGGTTGCTAGGCAACGCGGCCTAGTCGGGGCCTACTCCTACTTTTGCCCAAACGAAGCCTGGCTGTGGGTGGGTGGATGTCGTCGGTTGCTAGGCAACGCGGCCTAGTCGGACCTAGTCGGCTTTGGCGGTAGCGGCGAAGGGGAATCCCTTTGCGCCGGAACCGCTTCCCCGTCGCGTGGCAGCCGAGGCGGCGTCTCTGGGCGGGGAAGGCAGGCCGGAAGGGCCGAGCAGGAGGAGAAGGCAGGCCGATGTGAGTGGATGCGGAAAGCGGCGCGAGGCCGGGGTTTCCTTGCAGCAGACAAGGCCTGGCCCAAACTTGGGCCTTCCCTCCCTCCCT